AGAAACAAAAACATAGGACTGGCACAGCTTACGCCGGAGGAGCAGCTTCTCTCCAGCTGGAGCTGTCGGCATTTACTCATGTTTGGCTCCAGGCAAATCCTTGAGGACCTCTGGGTGGGGCGGAAGGGCTGGAGGAGGAAAAGTGTAGGAGGAGGGCAGCGCTCGCCAGCTCAGTCCCAGGCGAAGGGCTTGAGACGCTCCTGGCAGAGCCCAGCTCTCGGGAGGGGTGCAGGAGATTCCAGCAGAAACCCTCTGGAGCGGGGCTGTGTGGCTCAGGGGTAAGGGCCGTGGGTTCGATGCCCAGCACTGCGAAAGGAGGAGAAAAACTAGCCTGGGCTAGGGCCACAGCAGCAAAGGTGCACAATCGTATCAGTGCCGCTGAGATTTAAAAAAAAAAAAAAATAGCCCAACCTGTCCCTTTTCCGCTGACAGCCGGGAGACATGCTCTGCAGCTACAAAAGCACTGTCGTGGACACCTGTATCCCTGACCAAAGCTGACTTGAATTTGGACCAATCGGCAGACTCAAATTTGGACCAATCAGCAGGCTCAAATTTGGACCAATCGGAAGACTCAAATTTGGACCAATCAGCAGGCTCAAATGTGGACCAATCAACAGGCTCAAATTTGGACTAACGAACAGGCTCAAAGTGAACTCAGCCAATCAACAGGCTCAAATCTGAGCCAATCACAGGCCTGCTGCTCTATATAAGCAGCTTCTCTGCCCGTTTGTCAGGTTGATGTAGGATGGCTTCCACACCCTGGAGTATAGATTTGTTCTTGAGGTATCCCAGGTAGTACAGACAGGGCAGGCTTTAAGCTAGGGAGCTGTGACGCTAGGGGCTGGTAACACGCAGGCTCTGAAGAGGTCTGTGAGACGGGAGGACTGGGGTCATCAACCACGCAGCGCGGGGCCCAGCCCTGACTGCTGAGGGGTGGACGGGGCGGCTCAGAACCCAGAGCAGTAGCACTAAGGGCCAAGGACTGTAGGTTCTGTCCCAAGAGCTGAGAGCCGCTGCAGACCTCATGATTTCCAGTTTGCCATTTCCTCCCGAGCCCAGGACCCTAAAAGGATCGGAAACAGTACCCGTGACCTAGTGGGAGCAGGGCCCGGTGCTCCTCCCATTTTTGATAGGCAAGGTCAGGAAGTCTAATCGCAGACCCGCACAACCGTGCCCCATGTTCCCCCCTGCCAACCGGTGTGTCCTCACCACAGCCCTGACCCCCAGAGCTCCAGGGCTCAGCCCTGCCAGACAAGGCAGCCATGAGGAAGGCCGGGAAGAAAGAGGACAGAGAGGTGGGGGTCCCAGCATCACACAGGACCCTCAGCAATCCACTGTGAGACCAGCTACTGCCAAGCAGCCCAGTCCCAGCTCCCTAACACAGCTGCCTGCGCTGGGGGCTCCGCAGGACGCACCAGGATGGAAGCACTTGGCACCGGGAGCATCAGACACCCCGACTGGCCCTGCTCTGCCATCTTCCCACACAGTTCCTTGATTACACGGGAATCCTCCCGGCATCCTTCCCGCTAGGAGCCGCTCCTCTACCTCCAGCTCCAACTGGTCACCTTGCATGCCCTGGTTTCTTTCGGCCACGTTTGAAATGAGCAGATCCTATTTTAACTGAATTTGATTTTTAAGTAAAAGAACAGGAAGTTGTTTCCGGCGAGCTCTCTCCTTAACCTTGTTTCCAGCGAGCTCTCTCTTTAACCTTGTTTCCTTGGTAACCGCCGCAGGAAGAGCCCTCTGGATGTCTTTGGGGGTGAATTGTGGCTGCAGAGCCCTTTGTTCCTGCGGTCTGGCTTCAGCCTAGAGACCTGGCCTCCGGGGACGTCACCTTGACCGGACCCTGAGGTTGGGAGCTGGGGCGGGAACCCTGTAAGTAACTAATCCCCGCTTTCACGCCTAGTGCCAGGCCTTGTCGGCTCTTGGGGACAGCAGCTCTGCCATGGAGTCTCAGCCCTGACTGAAAGGAGACAGATGGGACATCCAACCTGCTCTGCATGGAGAGGTCTCACTGTATGCAAGACAGCGAATGCCACCAGGGGAAGCGGCTCACCTGGCTTGAGGCATCTGGCAGCCCCAGAGGGAGGACACAGGAGTCAGAAAGGCCTGCCAGGTGGGGCGGCTGGCCAGGAGCTGCTGCAAGGCCTGTGCAAGAAGGGCCTCTGTCCGGATGCTGTCTTCTCTGTCCAGGGCTCACGCATCCCCGAGGAAGGTGGTGTAAAGGCTCCCTCAGCCCGGGCCTCTCGCCCCCTGCCTGTGACGGAGGGACGGGTCCTCCTTCCAAGGCCCCGAGGTTGCCCATTGTGCAGCCCCCTGCCTGACCACACCCTTGCCACCAGCACCTCCCCACACTGCACCCTCCAGTCCACCCAGCTCTGCCGGCTCTGGCCCTTTGTGGCCCCTTCTCCGTCCATCCAACGGGCCCAGGGCCCTCCTCTCAGCAAGCCTTTGTGGTAATGGCGCCCAGGGGCCAGGGCGCCCTCAGAGCCTGCTGAGCATCAGGCAGCAACAAGGCTAAGGACAAAGGCCACCTCCCTCTCAGGGATTTGCAGGCAGCTGACACCTTTGGGGACTGCAGCTTCTGTGCGACCAGGCTGGGGAGGGCACACTGGCCACCGCCCTCCCCTCTCATCAAGACACCGAGATTGGAACCTGGGGGAGGAGGATCCCTGACTTCCGGCCTGCTGGGGCCATGGCTCAAGTGCTGCAGGGTCTGCCTTTATGTAGATTTGGCCCATTTTCTTTAATAAATGTTTCTGCACGGCCTGTGTGGCCTCGGGTCAATTTCCAGACTTTAAATGGCCTATTTACTTATTCTTTGTTATGGTTTGCACCAGTCCTGGTGGTTTGGTCTGGGCACTTTTTCCGTCACGTTAGAAGTGGATGCTCTCCATTGTTTTATACTCTATGATTTCGCTGCTTACACACCAAAAAGAAATCCCAGGGTCTCTTAAAGCCCTCCGAACCCCTGGGTTTAGTTATAAACCTGCAGACAGTTCCAGCTGAGGAAAACTTCAAAATTTCTTTAATGAATCAGCTTCCCACATGAGTGGCGATGTGACAAACGCACTGGGTGGTGTCACCAGCCATGTCACCGTGTCCTCAGCTGGGACTCTCGAGGGTGGAGGCTGTTTCAGACAGGATGGGGCGGGACTTTCCTTCTCAGCCCCACGCAAGCCCTCTTTAAGTGGACATCTGAGTCCTCACTGTGGCCACACTGCCACTGTCCCCCAGGCCTGCACAGGACTCCCAGGACGGTCAGGGCTGGGGTCTCGGGCTCTCTGTCCTGGAGGTGTCCCTCCGGCCACGTGACTTCTGCAAAGCCTGGTGGGAGTCGCCTGCTCAGGTGAACAGCACGGACCGCAGAACTCAGGCCAGGCAGTTTGGGGAATTAAGGCCACACGGTCTCTCCCAAGTCACATTCACCAGCTCCAGGCTACCACTACAGCAGCCTCAGCGGTGGACATCCAGCCCCAGGAGAAGGGTCACCACCTCGCAGCAGCTGCCCCTGGCTTCCGGCTTGGTTGGCCCAGTGGTCCGGGGTGGGGGCCAGGGAGGGCTCCCTCCCACCGCAGCCCTTTCCACCCCGCAGACACGGCCTCCTGAGGCCCGGTGCAGACCCACCTTGGGCTTTGTGTCAGCAGACCAGGCCCTCCCCCCAGAGGAGCTGCAGAAAGGGAAGCCTGCCCCTCCGTCCCCAGAGGCTGTGTCTGCTCACAGTCCCACCCCCGCCTCCGTCTACCATGCCCGGCCTCTGCCCACACCACACCCTTACAGTCGCTGGGATTTTGCTTACCACCCACACCGCTCTAGGGCTGGGTATCTGCCGCCCAACACATGAGGGGCACTCTCAGGACGCAGCTGTCCTTGCAGGTTGCTGGTGTCCCCAGGCCTCTGAACACACCAGTAAAAAACCTTGGTTGAGTGAGGCTATCAAAGACACGCTCTGACCACCCCAAAACTTAAGGCAAAATTTAAGAGCTTTTGAGACAAGAAAGGTCCTAGTATATCGATGCCTCTGACACACACATACACAAGCACACACACAAACACACAAACACACACAGTACACATTCCCCGTGTACCCTGCCCCTTTACTGCCCTGGAGAAAACACCTGAATAGGCAAAAATGTGCGGGAAGGGTGCAGACAGCAATAGGAGCAGACTTCCGTCTTATGCCCTGGATAACCCCTGCTCCTGCACGGGACCGATGCGGAGTGAATGTTTGCTTCCCGCCTGGCCTGTCAGCCTGCTGAAGGGGCGCAGGGGCTCTGCACAGCCACGTGGGGCCCCACCTGCTCCCAGACTGTGGCTTCGAGCCGCGGCCACATGCTCCACTGTCCCGGTGAGCAGGGCCGTGGCTCCTACCTGGACAGGAGCTGGCACTGCAGGGACATCCAGGGTGACTCCAAACACCCGGGGCACGGCAACATCTGACAGAGCCCGACGCCGCCCCTCACCTGGAAACGGCGGCCCTGCTCGGACTCCCGCCCCCTGACGACTCCTACCCACGCCTTACAGTGCTTTCGACAGAAGCAAACAACCAGGGACCCCCACGCCCGGGTCGTGTTGTGTCCTTTGCTGGCTCTTCGTTCTGCCCCATAGCCTGTCCTACGTGACAGTCACTTGGGCAGGACCTGCGTGGACAGTGAGTGACCTCCTGCTGCGCACTGCACTCACAGCCCTCCCAGCCTTTCCCCCCAGTCTCAGGACCAGAGCCTGCCCCTCCACCCAACCCGGCCAGGGGCTCCCCTCCCCCAAGATCCCAGGTGGCCGAGAAGAGGAAAGAGAGGAGCAGGAAGGGGCTGAGACGACGGGCAGAGCCCGCTCCTGTGGGGCCGCACCTCCCTGCGCGGCAGCTCTCTCAGCCTCTGAGTGCGACACCTTGGGGTCCTGGGGCCCTGGGGCTCCCCGTTCATCACATGGGTGCAGCGCACTCATCAGTCTCCTGAGAGCAGCAACTCACTCTGACCACCCCGAAATAAAACAAGGCACGGTGAAGGTGCGGACACAGACTCTTTACTCAGAGAAAGCACAGCTGGTAGCAGACACGGCACAGGACCACAGGCTCTCGGGCGCCCCAGGAGGGAGGCCCGGTGAGGGGCTGGCTTCCCCGGCAGCAGCCCAGGCCGTGAGGGAGCAGACAGGAGGGTCACACGGGGCTCCTGGGGGCCTGGTCTGTCCCTCGCCCAGTGCCCTCGCCCACCCTCTCCAGCACAGGGGACTGCAGGGCTCAGCAGCAGATGACGTGAGATGTGACGCTCGGCACACAAGTTCTGACATAAGAGCAAGCATGGAGTCCCGGCGGCCGCCACCAGGGACAGCGCCGGCCTGGGCAGGAAGGTGTCTGCCATGACCGGGAAGGGCAGACAGCGATGGTGTTCACAGCTCCAGGGGGCCCAGGGGATGGCCTTCCAGCAGGCCCGGCCCGGCCCGGCCCGGCCCGAGGTCACGGCAGCCGGTCCGTCCGTTTGCTGCGCCACACCACCAAGCCAGCCATGGCCACAGTCAGCAGGACCGGCACCGCGATCAGCGGGATGAGCACCTCGTCGGGCGGGTCCTCCCAGTGGGCCCTGTCCACCGTGCAGTTGGAGAAGAACTGCCGGTGGACGCCGGTGATGAAGCCCTGGGCCAGTGGATTGGGCCAGTAGCAGCCCACAACGATGGTCTCCTCCTCAGTACAGTTAGTGAAGCTCTCATAGAACCTGCAGAGGCAGAAGGGGACCCCTCAGCAAGAGGACAGGCAGGGGGCGCTGTGGGCCACCTACGCGGAGCATGGCCTTGGAAGTCACATCCACACTCCCAGCCACATGGGTACCCTGCCCAACCTGAGACAGTGGCCTTGAGGGCAGGAGCTCCCCGGAGTCCCCCAGAACGGCCCGCCAAGCGGACATGCCAAGCCCTGCATGTCCGAAGCCAAGGGCCACGGGGACCTGACCACAGCCACATGTCCCACCAGGTGGTCACTGTCCAGGGACACTCTAAGGACTGAGAGGAAGGTCTGCCTGAGCCAGGCACCTTCCGGACTTCTAGGTTGGCCTGTTCTTGTGAGCCAGGTGGGGAGCGAGTTGAAAGCCCCAGCGCCCACCTCTCTGTCTCCTGCGGAGAGGTTGCCTCTCTTGGGAGGGGTCCCCTGTTTTTTACCTCAGCAAAACCCCTAAGATTGACCTTGTCTGCCCAGGAGCAGTCCTGGATGGCGCTCAAGGCTCTCCAAGAACTCCAGCTGCCGGGGCCCCGAGCTCAGCCCAGTATCTACAAGGATCTCCCGATGGCGGGCTGGACAGCATCTGGAGGTGGTGACGCCCTGTCCCCGGGTCTGGGAGGTGGGGCCCGCAGCCACCCTCTGAGATGCGTGGCAGGAGCCCGGGCAGACACCTGCCGAGAGCCCGCAGCTCCACATGGGGCAGAAGGACAGCAGAGGAGCAGCCCCGCTGGCTCCCCCATGGGGCCCAGGAAGGGGCCACTTCCTCTTTCCTGGGCTGTCCTGGGAAAGCCTGGCTGACCTGGAAGGAAAAGCTTCCTGCACAAAGCTGCCCACACGGAACACTCCACAGCCTGTATTCCCCAAGGCTGGAAGAGAGCAGGGACGCAGCAGCTGGCCAAGCACCACCCTTGTCCACCCGCCAGCAAGGTCCCAGGCCCCTGACCCATCTGAGGCGGGCAGTCAGCACAGATGCCAAGACACAGGTCAGACACACCCGTCCCGCCCAGGTAACCGTGGTGAGCAGAGCTGGAAGTCCAGGGGCCTGGAACCCTTGTCCAGACCCAGGGCTGCTCCGGGGTCCCTTCATGTGCCAGGGTCCCTTGGGCACCTTGGCAGCCAGACCTGGGGCAAACCCTGCCGCCCCCACCCACTGGTCTTGCGGAGTCCCAGACAGCACAACCCACCCACTCCCGCCTGCCAGCAGATCTGAGGCTGCTGGGGAGCTTCCGGACACCCCAAAAAAGCCTTGGCCTGTGAAGCTAGGATGAGGGCAGCCACACACATGACCTCCATGCCTCCAAGTCCTCGCTGGCCAGGTCACCCCCACGACAGCTGTCCTGAGCTCTGAGCAAGGGCCAGATGGACCTCTGAGGAGGACCCACGGGGCAGGGCCGGGCCAAGTGTGGGCAACGCCCCACAGGGAACTCACACGATGAACTGGGACAGGTCGCACCACTTCCAGACGGCCACATCACGCATCCTCTCGGCGAAGGTCTTCCCGCACCGGGGCAGCCTCTCCAGCATCCGGGTCTCGTTGCAGCCACATACACGAGCACAGGTGCCTGCGGAGGGGACAGTCGGACGTGTCCAGGGCTCCTCTGCAAGCGGGACCTCAGCAACACCTCTGGCTGATGTCCCCGCACAGGCCCACTGCTCCTCCCACAGCCCAGCCCTCCCATCTCCCAAGCCTGTGTTCCCTAGCGCAGGACAAATCTGCCTCTTCACCACCCAGCGACACCTGGAGCAGATGGCAGTGAGACCCTGAGCCAGTGTCCTCGGGAGGTTGGGAGCGGGTCAGTCGGCACCACCCAGCAGGGCTCACGGGCACCGGGACCTTCAGCACAGAGCACAGCCAGCAGGGGCCTCGGGGCCACCGCAAGGTGTGCACCCTTCCCTCCAAGGAAACAAGGTCACTAAGGCCCTGTCACTTAGCACCCCACAGGTTCTCAGTGGCAGCCTGGACCCTCACACCTGCTCACAGCCCATGGCTTCTGACAGCTGCCACCTGCAGCTGGTATGAAAAGACTTCTTATTTTTTTCTTTTCTTGTTTCCTTGCAGTAGTGGGAATTAAACCCAGGGCCTTTGCACCAAGCTACAGCCCCTTTTTATTTTTTATTTTGTTTTTGTTCATTTTGTTTTGTTTTTTGAGACAGGGTCTCATTATGCAGTTCAGGCTGACCTTGAGCTCACTTTGTAGCCCAGGACGGTCTTGAACTCGAAACAATCCTCCTGCCTCAGCCTCCTGAGTGCTAGGATTACAAGCATGCACCACCATATCCAGCTTTTATTTTTTATTTTGAGACAGGGTCTTTGTAAGTTGCCCAGGCTGGGCTCAAACTTGCAGTCTTCCTACCTCAGCCTCTCAGAGTGCAGGGATTACAGGTGTGTGCACCACATCCAGCTAAGTACAGGATTTTTTAAAGTGCATAGAAGCCTCATTATACGGGCATACAGGAGACAAGCAGATCTACTTCCATGTCCAGGCGTAAGGCAGAAACATGGACGTGCTTTCTAATGAAACAACTGAAAGCCCAGGACAAAATGCAGATAATAAATTCATCAAATCATCACGAGGACAATGGCAAGGAACTAACAAGCTGGACCAGATGGGCGGGACCCAGAGCAAGCGGGTGCGAAGGGGCGGCATGGGGCGGACGAAGATGAAGCCCTAGTGACATGATGAAAGGTGCTGAGTAGGCAGACATTCGCCCGGAAAGGAGACAGCAATGGCCACACCCTCACCAGCGGGAGGACGTGCGGGTGGACACTGGGCAGGGCAGAGGATCCCCAACTCACAGTGCAGGCTAACCTGCTTAAGGACTCACAGCCAAGTTCACCTGACCTGGCTCTCTAGAGAAACCCAGGTTGTTTTTGGGCTTAAAATGACAGGGTAGGGGCCCAGCAGAGGCAGAGCTTGGCGCCGCCTGGAGGCAGGTACCAGGACTGCAGCCCTCATAGAACCCCAAGGATCCACAGGCCAAGGAAGGCAGGTGCCTCAAGGTCAAGCGTCAGCTGACAACAGCGTCCACAGAAGGGTCCCAGGGACACAGCCTTCAGGATACGACCCGAACCAAAGAGCAGGGACATGTGGCCCTCGGTTCCTCACACCACACTCGGACCCAGCAGCTCAGGCGGGGGCTGATCTGGTGCACAATTTCCAACTGAGTCACCCACAGGCTGCCCTGCTCTGGGGCACAGTCCTAAGAAGGCTTGCTTGAAAATCAATGCTGCGCCTCCCTGGTGGCTGTCAGACTGTCTGCACTCCTCCAGAGTGACCAAAGAGGGCCTAGTCTCTGGCGAAGCTTGTTGCAAAAGACCAAACTCCTTAAGTCAGTCTGCAATGACACACCCAGCCGACGGTAAAGGGAGAAAACCCAACTGGCTAAGGGCAACCTTTGACCAGCACATGGCCTGTACTAACCTGAGGAATCTACACTAGATGTCTTTTTAAGGGGCAAAAATACAGGCAAGAACCTTACAGACTATATGGGGATGATTGAAAAATACAGCGTGTGTTTAAATTAAAATTTTTATTACAGTAAAAGACACATTGCCATTAATTCCCTCCCTCTGAACACATCCCACTGCTCGTGCCACTTTCTGAAGCCCTTCTGGAAGTTCTCTTTCCTGAGTGTCACTAATTGTGCTGTTGCAGCTGCCTTGATGTCCTGAATCCATTCCAAATGTTTCCCTTTCACAGTCATTTTAATTTGGGGGATGAGCCAGAAGTGGCACAGTGCCAAATCCAGTGAGTAAGGTGGATGAGGACCCAGCATAGTATTTCTATGACCCTGCCTTTCTGATGCATAGCACTCAGCAGCATTCACTGTATTTTTTTTATCCCACCTTATAAAGACACTCAGGAAAGAGGACTGCAGAGCTGCTGCAGAAAGTGGCAAGAACAATGGGATAAGTGCTTTCAAGCAAGGGGGAATATTTTGGGGGAAATTAATGCCAATGGGTGTTTTACTGTACTAATGTTTTTGTTGTTGTTGTTGTTGTTGTTTGTCTTTTTGAGAGAAAATCTCGCTATTCAGTTCAGGCTGGCCTTGAGCTCACTTTGTAGCCCAGGCTGGCCTCAAACTCGCAACAATCCTCCTGCCTCAGCCTCCCAAGTGTTGGGATTACAGCATGCGCCACCACACCCAGCTTGTAATAATGTTTTAAAGTCTTAATATTCACCGTATTTTTCAAATACCCCTTGTATTCCTTGGGGAAAACAGGTTTCACAAACTTACAAGCACCTTAACAGATGACACAATAAGCATCAGGGGAAGCTCGGTATCCAGCGTTGCTACAATATGTTATCCTAAATTTTGATCTTTTTAAAAATATTAAACATTAAAAAATAGGGTATGTTTGGAATGTCCTACCGTAAGACTGGTGAATGTAAAGAGTTAATTTCAGGGTACAATTTTGCCTTAATGGTTTTAAAAATTAAACTATTTTTTAAAATTTAAAAAAAAGAAAAAATTAGGATAGTGACCCCTATAGAAAAGAGAAAGCAGGAAACAAGTCACCTTTGAGAAGGTCCAAATGTTGGGCTTAGCAGAGAAAAACTTCAAAGCACCTAGTATAAATTCGTTCAGAAATGGAAACACTGTGACCCTGGGTGTTTTCCTCGGTTAATTATGGCATCCCTGCGAAATCTCTCGCAAGGCTTCCTTGCGCTGGGCACCTGCCCACCCCTTTCACAGCCAGACTGTCCCTCGCCAAGCCCTCCCCCGTGCCAGTCCCCTCTGTGCGTCCCCAGCTGTTGGCTCCAGGTCTGTCTGAGGAACTGATATTCTAATGAGAGCCTTTGGGGCAGAGGGAAGCCCTTCCTCCTTGACGCGGGGCTCCAGGCCACCTGCAAAGCCCAAGGTGGGGGCTCCATTCCCAGCCCCCCTGGCCCCTGCCATCTCCCAGTCAACTGTGTGAGACAGAAGAAAGTGGGACCCGGCTGCCCAGCAGGCCCACTGTCCACAGCCTGGGCACTGCGGGTGAGCCTGTGCGGTGGGGACCCAGGAACTTCTGTTTTCTAAGGGACACCAGTGTGCAGCCCCGCTGGAGCGAGGGCAGAGGGCCAGGCATCTCCACTCAGATGTGCACCTTGTGCGATGCAGATGGCACACCCGTTCTCCAGGCTGCTGACAGGCTCCAGGGATGCCACGTCCCCAGGCATCTGATCTGAGGGCTACACCCTGCTCGGCCACACCTCCCCCCGTGGTGGGAAGGCAGCCCTAGTCCATGTGGGCCACATGGCATGAGTGACACAGGGCGCCGGCCCCAACCCCAGGAGGTGTCTGTCACAGCTATTTCGAGTGGCCCCTCCCCCACGCAGGCCCGCATCTGACGCATCTTCACGCTAACGGTGATGTTCCGAAAGAGCGCCCTGGGACAAGGTCCTGTAAGTCCCGGTTACCCCACCCCCCGCTGAGACTGTCCCTGCCTCTGAGCCCTTGGCCTCCCGTGCGGAGAGCTGATCCAAGACAGCACCGATTGCCCCCCCTCCTGGTGCCAGGAAGGACCCTCTGCCATGGCTACCTACAGAGCACGGAGAGCCCTCACAACATGCCGGTCGTGCTATGCCCTGAATCTCTAGGCACCTCCCCAGAACCCGGAATCTGTGTCCCCCACAATCTCCACAAACCCCAGAATCTCCGTGTCCCCTGTGCCCTTCAGTGAATCCTGCATCCCCCATGCGGCGAGAGCCTGGGCCAAGCAGTGGTGACTGTGCCTTCGAAGCCACACCCCAGGCCTCACATGTAGCGTCCCTGACCAAGGGCTGTGACATGCCCACGGCGAGTGCAGGGCAGGCACCGTAGCACTACCCAAGCAACGGCAACAGGGTGAAGACACAGCCCCGGAACACCAGACAGCGGCCGGTCACCGCCACCCAAGCTGCCAGCTGCATCTCTGAAGCTCTCAGGAACGGAATGAAACAGAAATCCGTTTTGGTGAGTTCCACCAGGAAACAAAGAATAAACAGGCATGCATGAATTTTTGTCCTCGGGACTTCCACATGCTCAGAGATGATAAACAGCCGAACATTCAAGCCCAAAAGACCTTCGGTGACTGTCACTTCAACATGAAACTCAAGTGCCTCAGCCTCCTGGAAGGAAAAGAGCAGCCACCAGACCCCGCATGGTGGTGGGTAGCTGCAGAGGGTCACAGTGGGGTCCCTTCCATCTGGCCAGCTCCCCTCATTGGTCCCCTGCCTCAGTTTCCTTATCTGTAAAATGACAAGTAGGGCCAGATGACCTACAAGGACCTTCAGTGCTAAAAACCCATGGCCCTGTGCTTGACAAGCTACCTCCTTCTGGACTTTAAGTCCCCAGAGCTACCTGCCACTCCACTCTGCCTTTGGACCCACCCCTGACCAACAAGATATCAGTGATCAGTGTGACCACAGGTGACACAGGGGCAGGGCATCGCTGCTCATGGTCAAATGATGGCATCTGTTCACACTCAGGGCACACATGCAGGGGGTGCTGTGTACAAGCCCTAGTGAGGCACGCCTGCCACATCCTCGCCAGCTTACCCATGAGCCCTTTCGCCCCACAATCCCACGCCCAGCCGCAGGTGCTGGGGATGGAGCAGGACCAAATCAGCCTGACGGTCACAGCAGCCCTCCACAGACTGCTAGAGCTGCACCTACACTGCAGTTGGGGAAACAGGGGCTAGAGGCTGCATCTTGCTGGTCTTAAGATTATGATCCTGGATTCTCACCCAGACCAAAAGGATCTGGGTAAGAGCTGGGCCCCTTGGCAGCTTGCTGCTGAGTGGGTAGCTGCTGGAGTCCCTGCCCAAGGGCCCTGTGCAGTGCCAGATGCCGGCACCCTCCTGGGTGGGAACTGGTCCTCAGGGCTGGTCAGGAGGAACCACTGCTGCTGGCCCTGCCCCCTGCAGCCACCAGGTGCCCGCTCTAAAGGCTCGGGACCCAGAGCCACCATTCCCGGGAGCTGGGCAGCTTAGCTCTTCCTTCCAGAGGGCAGACCCTGCTGAACGCTGCTCTGCAAACTGCGTATGACCGAGAGCCTGTGTGACTCATGCTCCGGCCAAGCCAACACCAGGTGGGTCTGCGGAAGGCTGCAGCTGACGCGCACTAGAGAGCCCAGCTCCTGGGCGGGGGGTCAATGAAGACCACCCAAACAGGACAAGGACATGGCCACAGGGACTGTGCCAAGGCAGGAGCACCCGGGAGCGCTCTGCGCGCTTGTGCCTGTGGTCCTTCCCTCCTCCACGCTGGGGGCAGTCAGGGGAGCTGGGGCACCTTCAGCAGGGACTCTAGTCTGTCAGAGGCGCTTTCAGGGCAGGCGCTTGCTAAAATCCCAAGGCAAGACACTGATTTCTGCATCAGTCACGTGTCCTAAAAACCCACCCCACCTGAGGCTCCAGGAAGCTGACGTAAAACCGAGCTCTGCCAGAGACCCACGCAAAGGAAGGGATGTCACCACCCAGCCTGGCCCACCTTTCCCGCCTTGTTTACCGAATCCCAAGTCATCAGAGCTGAGGAAGAAAGGCAAACAGGCTGGCAGCCAGGGAGGCTGGGGCCAGGAGCAAACCCACCCTCAGGACCAGGGGACAGCGGCCCCCGGGGACAGACCCTGAGTCCCTGATACCCACGCCAGAGCCTCCGTCCCCAGGTCAGAGCCCAAACCCGCCAGGCCCCGGCCTCTCCCCGCGACCCCCAGCCCTTGGCAAGCACCCTCCCGTGAAGCCCCTCACACGCGCGGCGCACACACGCACACGTCCACATACATGCACACACCTACGCCTCCTTTTATTCTCGGATTTTTCAAAACACGCTTCTCCCGTTTTGTGAGCAGTGCTTCTCCCTCGGGGCTCAGAAAGCCCACGGCCACCCACGCCCGCTCCGGGTGCCCCCCACCGACGCTCCTGGCCTGGACGGAGCGCTCACCCGCTCCTCAGCCCTCTCCCCAGGGAGCCTGCCCCGCAGCCCCCGCGCGCCCCTTCCCCACCGCGCCGCCGCGCGCCCCTCCCCAGCTCCGGGGAAGGCGCGGACCCCAGGGCTCGGGCGCCCCGGGCCGATGCGCCCTTACCGCAGAGCAGCAGCAGCCAGAGGAGCTGAGGCCGCCGGGACCGCCTCTCCATGGCTGGGCGGTCTGCGAGGCTGCGGGCGAGCTGTGCGGAGATCGCGGCGGACGGAGAGGCGGGGCCGGCAGGGGGAGGGGCCTGCCTAGGCCACGCCCATGTCGCGCTGTCCCGTTCCGCCCCGCCCCCATGCTCTCCAGGCCACGCCCCCAGCCTCCCGAGACGGTCCTGCCTCGCTAGTCCCCTACCCGGGCACGTCCTGGCAGCTCCCTGCCTGCTCCCGCGTTGCAGGCTCTGGAGTCTGGGCCGGGAGTGAGCGTAGGGTGTGGACTGGAGGCCAACAGGGGTCGGATGCAGAGGCTGCAGTTCAGGCTGGGGACAGACTGGGTGCGGACTGCAGGGTCAGCTCAGACAGGAGCCCGCGGGGGAGGGTGGGATGCGGCAGGGGACTCTGGGTTCAATCCTCAGTGCCACGAAGGGAAGACAACCGTCAGTCCTCTTACCTTCTGACTGAGAGGATGGGGGACGGGGTGACCGACGGCGTCCATACCCAGGCCTTCACCGCTGGATCGGGGGCCAGGGAACAGGCTGACCCAGCCACCCGCGCCAACAGAAGGCGATCCAGGAGCAGGTGCCGCCTGTGTCCCCGGGGAACAGACATGGAGAAGCTCAGGCTGGGCTCTGCAAGCAGCTCGCGAGCCAGATCGGGGAGATGGGTTCCTGGGCAGGAGGGGCAGGCAGCACTTAGGGCCCCGCCAGCCCGGGGCTGGGCTCAGCACAGACCAGGATAGGAGGACAAACACCAGGGCCAGCTGGCCTGCCGCGACGGTGACGCCCTCCCTGCTCTGCCTTGGGGACCCCAGCACCCCAGGTGCACTGAGCACACTGAGGGCCTCACCTGTGTCCCACAGCCTCCATGGCCTCCAAGGGCTCCTGCCCCACGGCAATGAGGCCAGAGCCAAGCGACATGGTTCCTCGCATTCTAAGAGCCAGGGCTGCCCCACCCCCCCAAGCCCCCTCATGGCCCCTGCCTGCTCCTACACCCCTTGTTTGTTCTCTGCTCTTCCTGTTCTGCACCACACCCCACACCAGCCGCAGGGACACCCTGAGGAAGTGTGGATGATCCAGCCCTAGCGGGGGCCAGTCAGAGCTAGTGCCGCCTTGGGCAGCCTATTCACAGGATGGGAACACAGGCACGGATCTGGGTGGCAGCCCAGATGGCACTGTCAGTGGGAAGAGAGCACCTTAGCAGAGGAGCTGACCTTAGGGGGGGGTCAAGGTCATTGCTGGTTCCCAGGGCTCCTCCAGCCAGAGCTTGACTCCCAGCCGCTGCCTGGGCCGGGATCTCTGGTGGCTATGAGCCTGAAATACCGCAGAGTCGAGTTCTGGGAATGCCGAGGGCAGGACGCAGAGCTGGCTTCTTCCTGCACCATGAGAGGTCATAGGGGACAGCCCTGGGGGTGACAGCTGTCTGCCTGCAGAGGTCCTGGCTTAGGTCCCGGGGCAGGTCCGCCTCTCAGCACAAGCCCGGCTCCCCCAGGACTGTGCAGGTTTGCTGGGCTTGGGGCAGATGGGGTGGTGGCCCTGGGTAGAGAGGAGACCTGGGTGTCTGCGGAGAGATGGGCTCAGTGCCATGCACAGGGCTGGAAAGTCACCTGAGGACAACAGTGTGTCACCCCAGAGCGGGTGACCGGAAGCATCAGTGACAGCCTCCTGAGACAAGAAGCCCCCACAACAGCTGCTGGAGCCCCACGGGACCACAAAGAGGGGGCAGCCACCCTGTGACCTTCAGATAGCCCGGGTGGCCCTGCCCTTGTCCTCCACCCTGAGCTCTTCAGGGTTCTCTCTGCCTGGCGTGGTTCACAGCTCTCTAAACCAAAAATCCCGATTCAGATCATTGTGCAGTCTCTCCTGATCAGGCCCTCACTGATAAATTATTGTACTGATCCTGTAATTCTTCTTACTTTTTTTTTTGGATGGGGGATACCAGGAATCTAACTCAGGACCTCGAGCTGGCCAGGCTTGCGCTGTGCCACTGAGCTATATCCCCGGCCCTTCCTACTTTGAAATAGTTTGAAAAGAATTTTTTCTTGACAGTCAAGTCACTTTTTCTTTTCTCCCTGGTACTGGGGCTTAAACTCAGGGCCTTTGCAATGAGATACACCCCCAGCCCTTTTTTAACATTTTTAATTAATTTGTCTGTTTGTTTTGATACAGGATCTCACTAAGTTGCCCAGGCTGCCCTTGAATTTGCCATCATCCTGCCTCAGCTTCCCAGAGTGCCGGGATGTGAGTGCTACTTTCTAACACCAAGACAGTGTGATCAAACATCGTGCTTCAACAGGGCCCCTCTCTGGAGTGGACGCTTCTACCTGGCGCCCAGTCCACATCGCATCCAGCCGGCTGAGGTTTCCCCTGCAGTTAGAATTCAGGAGAGACGTTCCTGGAGGCGTGGCTCCCCCTGCCGGACAGACGTCTAAATAACCGGAGCACATCCTCACCACCGTCACGATTGAGGGCTTCAGGGCACCCATACTAAAGGTGAAATGGGGGACACTCCAGAAGGGGTCCCTCTGACCCCAAGATGTTTCCCACCCGACTCAGCTCAAAGCATAATTCTGTCTCTTTTTACAAGAAAACACTCTGTAACTGACACATAGCAATTGTACATGTTTTATGGGTGCAGTGTTGTTTCAGTACATGTACACACAGCATAATGACCCCAGCCCGGTGATCCGCGTACCCAACACCTTGTGTTGTGAAGATCCATTATCCTCCCTACTAGCTATTTCGAAATGCTTAATTAATTGTTGTCAACCATAGTCATCCTACAATGCTACAGAACATTCGAAGTTCGCCCTCCTAGCTGGATGTGGTGGCACACACCTGTACTCCCAGCACTCCGGGCAGCTGAGGCAGGAGGATCACAAGTTCAAGTCCAGCATGAGAATCAACAATTTAGTGAGACCCTGTCTCAAAATGAAAAAAAAAAAAAATTGGGTACCAGGAATCAAACGCAGGACCTTGTGCTTTCCAGGCAGGTGCTTGTGCCACTGAGCTATATCCCCGGCCCTCAAAACAAAAATTTTAAAAAGGCCCAAGATGTCGCTCAATGGAAAGGTCCTGAATTCAGTCCCTAATACCACAGAACAAGGAATCTCTCCTATCCAAGTGCACCTCTGTAACCATTAACCATCTTCTCTGGTGCCTGTTAGTCTATTTCCTGCTTTTTTAGATCAATGTTCTAGCTTCCACATACAAGGGAGAACAAGTAGTATTTGTCTTTCTATGCTGACTTACTTTGCTTAACGTAATGTCTTCTGGTTCCATCCATGGTGCTATGAGTGGTAGAATTTTTTTTTTTTTTTGAGACAGAGTCTCACTACACAATTCAGGCTGGCCTTGAGCTCAGTTCGTATGAACTCACAACAGTCCTCCTGCCTCAGCCTCCCAAGTGCTGGGATTACAGGTGTGTGCCACCATGCCGAGTTCTAGAATTTCATTCTTTCTGTGGATGAATAGTTTGTCTTACTGTTACCCCTTGTGTCTAGATGTCAAAGCCTCCTGTGGTCATAGGTGGGTGGATCTGCAGTGTGCCATGCTGGGACTCATCCACTAATTGGTCCGGCGTAGTTCTGCGTGTGGGTAAGGGGAAGGCCCACCCTGGGTGTGAGTGCTACCCGCACTAAGGGTGTGTAGCCTCGATGGAATATAAGAGACAGAAAGAGGGCAGCTGTCGTCGCTTGTCGCTTGCTACTCCTTTGCTTGTTTGGTACTTTGCTACCTTCTGCCTGCCATGAACTGTTTCTCCTCTGTGATGCCTGCCCTCTGCCACGCCACCCTGCCTTGGAGCCAGCCAGTGTGAACTGAAGCCTCTACAAACTGTGAGCTGCAATAATCTTTCTTCCTTTAACTTTGGGCGTCGGGTATTTTGTCTCAGCAGTGAGAAAGTAACCAAGACACTTACATGCATGTGCCACATTCTTCACCCACTCATCCATGGGTGGATGCTTATCTTTGGTGGTGCTGGTGGTGGTTGTTTGTGGTACTGGGGACTAACCAGGGCCTGGCCCATGATAGGCAAGTGTTCGTTCTGTCACTGGGCTGCACCTCAGCCCTCCGAAGCTTGACTCCTGGGATACTGCTGCAGTAGACGTGGAGGTGTAGACGTTTCTTTAACACAGGAATTTCAGCTCCTTTAAGTAGAAATCCATGAGGGGTCCGCTGGGTCATAGCGGAGTCATCTTTCTAGTTTCTAAAGAGCCTCCATTTTTTGTTCTCCATAATGGTTACACTGATTTACATTCCCACCAGCCAGGTGTGAGAGGCTTGCCTTTCTCCACATTCTCATCTGCATTTAGTAATTTTTATCTTTTTGATAAGAAGCTTTCTGACCAATGTGAGATGATATCCCATTGTGGCTTTGGTCTGCATTTCCCTGATAATTAACAATGTTGAGTGTTTTCTCCATGAACTGTTTGGCTATCTGTATTAACTTTTTTTTGAGAAACGCCTGTCTTAGTTACTTCCTGGTTGCTGGAACAGAATAGCTGACACCCACAAGTTCAAGGAAGAAAGGTTTATTTTGGTTCACGGTTTGTAGAGGTCTCAGTTCACAGTAAGCTGGCTCCAAGGGTGGGTGGTATGGCAGGGGGGCATCACAGAGGAGAAATGGTCCATGGCAGGATAGGCAGCAGCAGCCTTCTTTATGTCTCTTTGTATTCCATCTGGGCTACAAGCCTATTGGTTGGTGTCACCCACACTTAGGGTGGGGTTTTCCTCTTCACTAAATCATTCAGCCACATGCTAATGGACCATGCTATTCCAGTTAAGGGACTAACCAAGTTATCACACCCTTAATCTGGTATC